CTGGGTTTATTGAAATGTAAATACTTCATAAAATATGTATTTCTGAGGAGACAAAGCATGAGATGGGTCCCCGCAGCCTTCAGCTGGTGTAAATGAGCCGTGCTGCTTTACAGTAGATGAGGATCTGACCCAGAGTTTTTTCCTAAGCCCCTCCACCCACCCCAGCATGCATGGGAGTAAGTCCAGAAGTGTTGAGAGTCGGAAGTAATGAGAGCAGACGTGGCTTTGTTCCTGGATGAAAATCCACTTCGGAATTAGGGATGACTGCCTTTGAAATTGGAAATCGCTCACAATTAATTTTCACCGGTACCTGAAGCCTCTCCTTGGCTTCCACTGTGGAAAAGCAGCATAAGCCTTTGCCAAAACGATCTCACTTTGGCTCTGCTGAGATCAGTAATTCCCAATGGGGTTCAAGAAAGCCGCGTGCATCTCTCCGCAACTTTCCTTTCGGTCTTTGTGTGGCTTGAAGTTGCGGTTCCTCTGCCTAACTGTGGCTGCGTGCGTGCACATGCACACTCATGTTTACATTTCCTCTTTCTTTCTTCCTTCTTTATTTTAAAGGTTAGACTCCAAAACGTTCTGTCTCAGCTCTCAGCGTAACTAACACATTTTCCTTCAAAGGAAGGAGGCAAGAAGCAGAAGAAAGTCAGCGAGGTTCACTGCTTTTTTTTTGTTCCCTTATGTCTCTTTTAGCTCCTTCAACTGCAGCCGAGCAGCGCGGGCCTCGACAGCTATCACATAATTTCTTTATCTCCTAACTAATTTATAAAGGGAAGCGCCTCGCCGTGAAGGCACGAGTCATTTCTCTCCCTTCTGGAGGGCTGTGCTCGCCCCCTCCCGCAGCGCTCCCCGCTGTGAACCCGGTTCACATAGCTGTTAGGCTGCGAGCTGGCGGCGCGCCACGCGAGGGGAGGATCGGAGAGGGGGTGACATCCCACACAAATCAATGTCAGAGGTTTGACGTTTTCATTCATGGCGGTGTCAAAGCAGCCTTTGGGCGGGGGGAGGAGATGGGGTATGCTTTTCTCTTGCTTAAGTGATTGCCATTTATGTTTTAATTTGCTGTTATACTGTTCAAAACCAAACAGAGAAACCCTCAGTTGTCTTTTTATGCTCCATTTCCCTTTCTCCCCCATCACTCTCCCGCCTTCCTCCACATCCTCTGCAGAGGAATCTGCTGCATCGTGAGTCCCAGCTGCTTGTCTTCCATAGAGGGTATCTTAGGGCTACACTCTACCTTCCAGGCTGGATGGCTGTTTCTCTGGACCATCTTTTTTCCTTTCCTTATATTGTGGTGATGAGCTGGCTGAGGCTGAACAGGCAGATTGCAAAAGTAAAGGTATTTGTCACTTTAACTGGGAAGGACTGGGGAACAGGCAAGGATTGTGGTATCCTGTTACACGGTATGGCAAAGATTCATCCATTCTTCCTAGCCAGGTGTTCAGAGATCTTTGAGTGAAAAGGAAGGGAATATCCTGGTTGTTAGAATGTCTTTCTGTAATTTACAAATTAAAGAGTATCAGCAGTGCTTCCTTTCAGAAACCACATACATCTTTATAGTCATCTGACATTCAGGAGTCTCAGAGAACTGTTGGACCCCCAAGATTTCTCTCTTCTTTAGACTGATGTAACCTCAAATGAACTCCTTGAACTGCATAAATAATCATGCAGTATTTATGATAGATTCTGGTATAAAAAGGAAAAGAATCTGTTTTCTAGAGGTGACCTTTGCCCGCTGCTGAAAATTTGGGCCTGTGAACTTCAGCTTTTATCATCTGGGTAATTCCCTTGGAAATGGGACCCAGTTTGGAAGCAGCTGTAATATTAATGGCCTGGAGCTGCACAGCTGTTCCTGTGTTGTCACCTGGTTTACGTGTGCCCCTCAAGGCAGTGTTAAAGAGGACGAAGAATTTCTACTCTCCTATAAATGCACCTCTAAGTAGGACCACGCACTTTAAATTGAAACAGGTTTGTAAGTGTTTCCAGTTTCTGGGCCATAAGAGTACCCAGCAGTGTCTCGCAGGCAGGACTGGAGAATAAATCATCTGGTTGACTCTACAGGAGGAATGTGAGTCGACAGAATGAAAATAAATGCCCAGTGTGAAGCCTGGCTGGGACAGCTGACTGAGTCTCCTGTATTTAAAAAAGCTGCTGTAGGGTCCCTACTGGGCTGGGCTTTGGCTTTGCACTTCAAATGAGAGGGAAGGTGAGTTCTCAGAATAGGGAAGGAAATCAAACAGTGTATTTGGTGTCAGAGGTGGCTTTTGAAGCTATAAATGAGTTGGAGGGGGTGTGTGTCCATCAAGAAGACCCAAGCAATGTAGTAAGAAGTTGGAATGATGTAAGATCTTGTGGGAAAGAGCAGTGATGTGACCAGAGGGAAGGAAGCTTCAGAAGAGTTGGCTTGGTAGGAAATGTTCCTTGGGATCCCGTTTTTACACTCTGAGCTTGAGTCCCTATATGACAAGAAGGAGCTGTGTCTTTACACAGCTTTGGTTTTAGGAGCATGGTCGCTAGCATGGGTGGAAACAAATGTGTTTAAACATCAAAGCACTTTGTTCCTTTGAGGGTTGAGCACTGTCTCTGATTCCAGGGAATATGGAAAGTGAACTGAGGGAGACAAGATGTAAGAGAACTGCTCCCTGCCCATGGCATCTAATGTACAATAAAATGTTTGACATACTCCAGGTTCAAAGTGGAGGTTACAGATCTTACTGTTATAAAGTAAAGCTGCAAGAAGCATTTAATGTTCTGAGCTGCTTCAACTCTGGTTTGAGTTTCTCTTAGTGGAAAATGTAGCCAAATGTAAATGGTTCCCAATTGTCTTGGTGCTTCTCAATTCAAGGAGAGTAATACTATTAAAACAAAGGAAATATGGTTCAAGACCTAATTTTTGTCTTGAATCATTTACTCTGGTTGAGAACCAAGGAGACTCCCAGTGAACTGAAAGTCTACCCTCAGTTATTTTGATGCTCTGTTAGAACTGGAGTGTGTGTTGGTGACTTGTAACAGCAACAAGATTGTGGGTAAACTTGTGTCTCTTCTTTTAGGGTTGCTGAGTGAGTGTCTGGAGTAAGATCTTGTGTATTTCAGGGATAAAATCTTAAGTTGAACGTGTAAATCTCAATCTTTTTGCTCTCCTTTATCAGCCTGTGGCTCATTTACATGCTATATTTGAAAAGTTGGAGAAATGGTGATTCTTTGTCTTTGTTGCTTCAGTGTTTCAGAGATGAAGATGGAGAAAGTATTATCCAGCCTGATGAAAGATGATCGCTTCAAATTGCACAGACCAGGAAGAAAGGTGAGTTTTTCTGCTGATTTGGAATCGCTCCAATTTTCATGTAGCAGTTAAACATCATAAGTGTTCTTCCCTCATCTTCTGTCTTTACAATACGAGGGTCGGTATATCCATGATGTTGGGCTATGCAAATAATTATAGGACTGCCTTATATTGCAACTGTCCAATTGTTAAACTGTTGTCCCCAAAAAGCATCGTTTTTAACTCTTCAGCAAGTATTTTTGTAACAGGCAGTAAAGGTTTCTGGCTGCAAGGGCTTGGGGTTCCCCCCTCCCCCAGTGTTTCTGTTCTTGGATTTTCATCACTAAAATACTGTTGGAGATCACAAATGGCACAAAACTTCTAAGAAATAAGATTTGGTGATGTGTTACGTGTGGGGTTTTATTATCTATATTTACTTGGAGCCCAAACTGAAGCTCACTGGGTTGACAGGCATATTTTAGTGACTTCAGCAAGGTTTGGGGCTGCCTTCAAGTTGCTAATTCACAGAATTCAGTCATTTGCAATTGAAGTCTCGGGTGTTTCTGCATTCTGGCAAATTAAATCCTCCAAGAACCCTCATTTTGAATGGAAGTCAAGAATGTGTCAAGCATGATGCAGCATGCTCTTTTTTCTCTTGTTGCTGTTTTGCCTGCTCGTTCTTTCTGTTACACCATGTATGAGCCTTCTTGTTTCCTGCAGATGACTGTTACGAACTGTGGTGTTCTTGGTAAACAT